ATATATACATATATATATACATATATATATTATATTATACTACACACAACAAGACACACACACACACACACACACACCAACATATATGTATATGACCTGTTACACTATTATATAATATATATATAAATATATTTAGTATATACTATAATATATATATCCATTAGGTAGGTGATGATTATATGTTCAGTTAAATATAACTATATATATGATGATAACTAAGTAAGTATGTATTACCATGATTTATACAAGTATTCTACACCATGACGGCATACAACAACACAGCGACACACAACCTAAATAATAGATGTGGTGTGTGTGTGTGTGGTAGATGTGTGATGTGTGGTGATGTGGTGTGTGTGTGTGTTTGTGTGTGTGGTGTGTGGTGTGGTGTGTGTTAGTGTGGGTGTGTGTGTGTGTGTGTGTGTGTGATAGTGTGTGTGTGTGTGTGTGTAGTGTGTAGTGTATATACTATATAATACTAGTATATGTATTATAATTATGTGCTATACTATACTAATATATAATATATTATATAGTGTGTGTGTTGTGTGAGGTGGGCGTGTGGGGATGTATTTAGTAATGGTGGGCAGATGTAGTAGAGTGGAGTCGTTCGTGGTTGGTGGGTGGGGGGTGATCAGTGTCATAAGTGCTAAAATTACGTGTACTAGAAGTGATGTGTGTATAGTGCTACAAAGGCAGAAGAGAAGAAACTGCGTGAATGTGATAGAGCATATAATCCAACCAAAAAATAGAAATATAATTCAAATCTGAATAACCTCAAAGTTTTATATAATGTATTATCAGACCATACGTACGCAGACTTTTTAAACTAACAGGAGTGCCAGAAAGTGCCAATTAGGAATACTAGGATTCATTACAGTGTTAGAGAAGTTCATAAGTTCATCGAGAGTCTTCAATATTTCAGATCAGAGAAAAGAAAATAATAATAATAATTCTCCCTCATGAAAAGTATACCAAAATACAAAAGGCATTAGGAAAATGATAACACACCTGTCCACAGGTCGTGAGTAAACATGCCAACCGCGCCATTACCAGTTTCCACTCAAGGAAATTTGCTAAGGAAAGTCAATGGCCAGTATGTAAATACAGTACATTAACAAAATCAGGTAGGTTTAAAAATGTTCCATAAAGCGTAAAGTATCATCTGCATTCGACAGGAAGAAACGCTGATAATCAAGTATAATTAAAGCGTAATTCAAGCATTGCACCTCAGATGAGCGCCAGACGCCCGACCCATGACCTGCGGTTAGCGAGGCGCAGACCCGTTAGGCTTAGCAACAGCTAAGGAATGCGACACCGCTCCGAAAAATTGCCAGATACAAAATCACCCTTATAACTCCCTTTATCCCAAACTCCATCCTTACGCACACCAATTGCATCCTAAATCCTCACACAACACCCGCATCCTTCCCTCATTTCCTCTGTTGCAACACTACAATTTAAGAACATTATAATGCATGGGCTGCTTATAATGGAGTGCGTGTGTGCGCCTATGCAGACACTGTTCATACGTTCGTGTGCGAGTATGAGCCCGTAGACACGAAAGTGCGCAGGTGCATATGTGCGCATGTTCATGCATACAGGTTCATATGAGTGTAGGCAAGTTTAAATTCATGTGCAGATAAATGGGTATGTATGCTGCTGTTTGTCTACGTAAGGCTATATAAGCTTCCATATAGCTTTGTGATAAAGTACATTATGTATGGGTATGTTCCGTGCTTATACATGAGGGCATACATGGGTTTAAAGGCGTAAATATGCAAATTTTTACATATGGTGTATAAATTCATGTATGAATGTGTACATATACATGTGTATATAAGCATGTATATATGTGTATGTGTATATAGGTATATATAATGTGCGTGTATATGTGTATGCATGGGTGAATGTATAGGTAGATATATGTAAGTATTTATATGTGTATATGTATAGGTATACGTATATAGGTGTGTGCAGGATGTAGGAAGGTGGATAAATTAATTAAGTATATGTATGTATGTACGTATGTACATATGCATGTACGTAGAGGTAGTTATATGCAAAGCAAGTACAGATATATACACATATATACAGGGGGGGGGGGACACTAGTGTATGCTGCAAATGTATGTGCTCATACACGGATGCGTGAGCACATGCAGGGATAGATACATGCGTATGTATAGTGATATGTAGGTTTGCGAGGTACGCAAAAAGGGGTGTTTACATATACACGGGTGAGTATACACTCATGTATACTCACTCACTTATCAATAACATATAACAAGCGCATAAAGGGACAGGCGATGTGAACATATGACTAGGTCAGACTATGATGGACATGTATGTAGTTATTAACAACGTAGGAATAAGTATCCATATCCATAAGCATAGATACAAGAATAAAGGTGTATGTTTGCATATGCATATGCGTGGGAATGAGCATATGCGTAGTACTTAGAGCATATGCGGGAATAAATATGTCTGCATCAGGTGCACATACGCACAAATGAAGTTAACAAATAAAATAAAATCAAACATACATGCACTTCTGATAATTAAGCCCAGCTCACGGGAGTAGTGAGCAGGCCGTGCATTTCCGCTCCTAAGTCCACACCAGGTAGGACCAAACCTGCAGGGGGGACTTATCAATGGCATCCGCTAAATTACTCCCCTCCCACCACAAAGATACACCTAAGCCAGTAGGTGGGGGTAAATCGGCTGTCCACCTCCAAGGAACAGGCGCCACGTTGATGAACCTTTGCACATACAATATAAGGACCATGAGAACTGAAACCGACTTACTAGCTTTACTAGAGGAACTCTCTTCTATTAAATGGGATGTATTAGGACTCTGCGAAGTTAGAAGACTAGGCGAAGAGCAGAAGTTAATAAATGAGGGACACGTGCTCTATTGGAGAGGAAAACCTCTGGGTAGCAAACAGGAATTAGGGGTAGGATTCTTAATACACAAACGCTTAGAAAAGAACATTATAGAATTCTATAGTGTCAGCGAAAGAGTGGCTTCTGTAACAATAAAACTAAACAATAGGTACAACTTAAAAATTATTCAAGTCTATGCTCCAACCTGCAGCCACAGTGATGAA